ACCTGGAACTCCCTTACAGTTTTTATCTGTTACTTTTCTCTCAGGAGCTCGCAAAAGCGGTTCTCCATCACGCAGAAGACAACCTCCAGCCTGCCCCCCTGGATGACAGATAGGGTCCTCAATCATTCCCAAGTGCTCCCAGGAGGCCAGTTTGATGGCATAGCTGGCAAAACCATGGGGTTTTCCAGGGGCTAGGTTGAGGGTCTCTGTCTTGAGGGGGCCTAAAGGTCTTATTGCTTAAAGAAAGTGGGGGTCCTTACATGAGCCCACACTTATTGGGCCCACAGACCACAGTCCATCATCTGGCTCCAGTTCTCCTTCCATTGCACCTGCTGGGTGTCCAGCTTCTTGCAGCTCCAGGGGAAGACGTCCAAGGTCTCTCCCACCCGTGGCAGTTGTTCCTTTGTTGTCAAAGCCTCATCTCCAGGGAAGCTTTACTTCCGTGGTCCCTGCCACCACTCTCAGTTTTATCTTGCAGTTTCTCTGGGCATGACATGGGATTTTCCAGGGGCTAGGTTGGGGTCTCTGTCTTTCTGAGGGGCCCCCGATTGCTGCTTTTCTCACTGTCAAGATGAGCATCAGATACTGGTGGCTCTCTCCTTCCCAATCCCAGCACTGGCAGCAGACCCAATCTGTGGAATTCTTTGTGGTCCACACTGGTGGTATGTCACAGGAGATCTCCTGATAGACAGCCAATCTAGCAACATACTCCTAATAGCCAGCCTAGTCAGGACCCTGCCCACTGCCAAGCTGGGGTTGTCCAATTAGAGAAATGCCTTTGCTGGCCTGGCTGGGATCTTGGCTGGATAGCTCCAAGTGGGAAGACATCTCTTTTTGGCCACTTCCCCACCGACAGACACGTAGGTGGAGTGTCTTCGAGAGCTGGGGGATGGACGGGTGGAAAGCTAGGGTCCTGGAAAACACGACAGTCACAAAAGCCTGGGATGCAGTATAGGAGGAGGAGGAGCTAGATGACCCACCCAGGAAGTAAGCCGGTAGGTACATCCTCATGTACATCATCCAGGCAGGAAGGATCCAGGACCTCTCCTGGTTTCCCTGGCCTCCAGCAAGAGCATTCCCGAAGCTGTGGCTCTGGGGTCCCTGCTCTGTCTGGCCGGGGCTTCCTATCCTCACAGCTATCAGCAGCTTTCCCTCAATTTGATGTCGTTCCAAAGTCCAGTCATTCTTCTCTCCTGTCCAGTCTGTCATTCACTCTCATCACTTGGGCCCGTCACTTTGTTCTTGATCTTATTTCTCAAAGAAAACAGGGGATCCTTACATGACCTCACTCTAATTGGGCCTACGGGCCCAATTAAAAACAACTCCATATATCTCAGGGTTGGACTAACCAGTCTCCTGTCCACTCGTTCACCAGTGGGGATTACCCCCAGGCAATTCCAATTTAACATGCCTGTATTCTGTCCTTCTCTCAATACAATCCTTGCTATCTTCCACCTGCAGCAACAGGCCTTCCCACCCCCACATCTCAGTCCTAGTAAGCACAGAGCAGAGAGACTGTAAGGATGACCTGCTGCTCTCCTCGGCCACCCACTTACCCAGCTTTCTTGATTTGAGTATGGATGAGGCGCTGGGGAGAGCAGCTGGGGCACTGCACTGGGTAGGAGGCCGACCCCTGCCCTTGAGGGTTTACAGCCGAGGAGGAAACAGACAACTTAAAGACATGCGCCTTGAGGAATGGGAAGGCTGAGAATGGCTGGGAGCTGCTGTTTCATATGGGTGTGTGTGTGCATGCATGTGTGTGTAGGGGGGGGGGACTGTGTGTGTACGCATGTGTTAACAGACTCTGCACCTCTGGAGGATAGCAGGACTGAACTGGGCTGAGGTCAGCTATGTCCTCAGTTTAGAAAGCAAAGAAAGGACGCGTGTTTCACACACCTTTAAACTGCAAGCCCTTGCTGTCAGGACAGCGCTCAGAGGCTGGGAGGGGCTAAGTCTTTTGCTCAGAGGCTGGGAGAGGCTAAGTCTTTTGCTCAGAGGCTGGGAGAGGCTAAGTCTTTTGCTCAGAGGCTGGGAGAGGCTAAGTCTTTTGCTGAACTTGTTTTCTTAAACTGTGACCTGCATGGGGCTGGAGATGGCTCAGCAGTTTGGAGCACTTGCTACTCTTCTAGAGGACCCTAAGTTTGGCTCCCAGCACCCCATGTCAGGCGGTTTACAACCATTTAACTCCAGCTCCAAGAAATCCAATGCCTTCTGGTTTCTGAGGGCACCTCCCCTCCCCATATAAAAATACTGACCTACACGAATATCTTTCCTATTTGGAAAGGAAAAACTGAAATGAAAAAGAACTCTGGGAAGGATTAATCATTTGCATCAAGCTATTTCCTCAATAGCCACTTCTGCCAGAAGGTGCACGGGAACAGCACTCTAGAACTTCCGAGAAGGCCAACACTTGACCTTGAGGTTTGGGCTTAGGTGAGGGCTAGCCTGGCAGCTCCCAGAGAGCTAGCTCACTCTGGGTGATCAGCGCACTGAGAGCAGTGGGCATCCAGAATGTTTGCAGAGCCCACAACCTTCTGGGTGGGTCTCAATACTCCCATCTGGTAGGCACAAAGGTGGCCACCCCCTACTCTAGGACTTTACTTCACGTACCTGTCCTCGAGTCCTTTTTAAAAAGACATGGACAGCCGGGCGGTGGTGGCGCACGCCTTTAATCCCAGCACTCGGGAGGCAGAGGCAGGCGGATCTCTGTGAGTTCGAGACCAGCCTGGTCTACAAGAGCTAGTTCCAGGACAGGCTCCAAAACCACAGAGAAACCCTGTCTCGAAAAACCAAAAAAAAAAAAAAAAAAAAAAAAGACATGGACAGACAGACGGTCATGCTAAGGAAAGCCTTCCACAGGCCAGGCCACAGACTGAGCCATTTCTCCTGGTTTCTTCTCTGAAGTTGAGGTCACGGAGAATAGCTAGGTTGCCTCTCTAGTGGTGAGGGAGGACTGGGTCTGTATGTGCTAGAGCATGGATATTCTGGGCTTGTGACTCAGGATATCCTCAACATAACAAGTATGGGGCCATGGTCAGGCTTGGAGGAAGGTGATCTGTCCCGCGCCCTGTGAGCCGGCATGACCCTGGTGAGTCAGGGGTGGAAATGTCCTTCAATCTTCCACACAGCAAGCACCGCGTCCATGGCTCCAAGCTGCCAGTCAGATGCTCACGGCCCAACCATGAGAGCATCGTTAGGGAAGCTCACAGTGGAGCACAGAGAGCCTGTCTCCCAGTTGAGGACGGACACAGAACATGGGCAGTGGGAGGGCTCCAGTTTAACTAGTGGCAGTGAGAAAACCCGGGAGGCCTCAGTGTAAACTCTCCAGGTCCAGGATCCCAAAGCAAACACAGACCTAGTCCCTGGTTGCATAACTAACGTCTCAGAGCAAAGGGGACACTCCTCTCCAAAAAGACCAAGGACTTCCCTTAACTACTCCACGGGAAAGTACACAGAGCATGGAGTACACACTTGTAATATCAGAATTTTGGAGGTGAGGCAGGAGGATTGAGAATTTATATTACAAAGTGAGACCTTGTCTCAAAACACAAAGAGGAGAGGGAGGTAGAGTTCGATCTCAGACTATGGCTTTGTTGATAGCTGACAAGCTGGCTGCAAGTCATTGGCAATTAACTAACTAACTAACCAACTACTCCCTCTAGGATGACTAGAGGAATGGAGTTTTCCAAGTCCAAACCCACACTATAAAGGGGATGGTGCGACCCTTGTCTGGTGCTTGCTTTGGAGCCTACAGTGCCAGGCCATAGTTTTTGGAGAACAAAGTCGTTTCCAGCAGGCAAACGGCTGAAATCTAAACTGCCTAGAAATTCCAGTTCTTCCCACTCAACGGTGCCTCAGTCAACAGCAAGCACACTTCAGAACACTGTGGCCCTCAACAAGACACACTCTAGGTAGCCTCGTCTCCAGAGGACCCTCCAGCTCTTAGGCTGGCTATCTTAAAAAAAAAAAAAAAATCAAACCTTGGGGCTGGAGAGATGACTAGGAGGTTAAGAGAACTGACTGCTGTTCCAGAGGTCCTGAGTTCAATTCCCAGCAACAACATGGTGACTCACAACCATCTGTAATGAGATCTGGTGCCCAGAACACTATATACACAATAAATAAATTTTTAAAAAAAAATCAAACCTCTCTGAGAGTGTTTCTTATATCTTTTTTTAGATGCATTTATTTATTATGTATACATTATACTGCCTGCCTCTGCCTCTGGAGTACTGGATGGGTGTGCCACCACTGCCTAGCTTCAAAATAAAATTTTTTTGTTTTGTTTTGTTTTTTGTTTTGAGACAGGGTTTCTCTGTCCTGGAACTAGCTCTTGTAGACCAGACTGGCCTAGAACTCACAAAGATCCGCCTGCCTCTGCCTCCCGAGTGCTGGGATTAAAGTTGGGCGCCACCACCACCCGGCTTCAAAATAAACCTTAAGAAAATAAAATGTCTGTGACTAAGACTGTTATGGATCTTGCTCACGTCATTCTACAGCAGATGCAAGAAACACCGGTTTCTTCATTCCTACTCCATATCCAGCCATTGCAAAAGAGGCCTGAATGTACTAAGATGGCAAGAAAATGACATAAATAAAAATAAATGCTTCAAGAGCATTAGGAATTAGCCATTAGAGATTTTGTCTCAGGTCTCATCTCCAGCAAACTGCCCTTTACTGCTGTGCCAACAGAAGACTGGAAGGATGGGGACAAGACGCTGTAGGCAGCGATGGGCAGAGTGCAAAGCCTCGTGGGAAAATGAGAACCCCTGGGTCCTGACACATGGTTCTCTAGGATCATCAACAATATCCCAAGGCGGTGGAAAAGGGACTAGGGGTCTGGCCAGCAGGAGGGGAGGTCCTGGGCTGAGAGAGTTCCCCATGAAAGTGCATTGGTCCCTCACCACCATGCCTGAGATGCAGCTGAAGGCATGGAGAAGAGGTCCTGTCCCCACAGCAGCATTAACTCCAAACCAGGCACGAGAAGAAGACTCAGCACGTGTTAACAACATTTACAGGTTTCCAGAGGTGCAGGAGAATGTTGCCCAAAGGAGTCCAGAGTGCTCACTGCAGGACGCAGAGTAGAAATACACAGCAGTGTGGCTAGCATGCTGCAGGCTCAGCCCACACAGCACCTAGTTCAGGCTCTCAGCTCTAGAAGCTGAGACTGGACAGCGGGCTTCTGAGCAAGGGGAAATGGTTCATCATTCACAACACAGTCACTGAACCTTCTGCTTCCAGGAAGACAGCATATTTCAAAGTTGGGATGAGTCATAACTCTGGGAGGATCAACCTTCATATTCTACAGACAGCAGTCTCTCATCTGAGAGAGGGCTGTGTGTGTGTGTATGTAGGAGTGCCCTCCCTATTGGCAGGGGTAGTGACATGCACCCAAAGTATGATTTAAATTGTGCCCAGCACACAGAGGCCGGTGACAACAAAATTGGGACTGTGCCCTTGGGGAAGATGTATTCTGCAGCAACTGCTGACCAAAGGCTTGGCTACACAGAGGGATCCTAGGAACAGAGGCCCTAGCGGAGCCAGTGCACCCTGCACCACCTACCACTCGCTACACCTGACATCTGAAAGGCTGGTCCTTCCTTCTCCCTGGTCTCTTGCCCAGTGACTGATACAGGATCTCAGAAGTCCTAGATGTAGGGAGGAAGTCAGGCCCTGGGAAGCAGGTGGCTTGTTCCACAGTCCCCAACCCTGAGGGCTTGTGTGGGAGGCAAAGGAGCAATGGCTTAGTGCACTGATGTCTCCACGGCCATGTGTATCAGAGAGCAGCAGGATGGCCAGGCAGTGTGCACCAGCTCCCTTCCCACTCTGGGAAAGGCTTAGGGTCCCAAGTCTCTAAAGGCTCAGCAGGGTTCTGGTTCTGGATGTGACTGCTTCGCTCATCGAAAGGACCCCAGTCCAGCCCAGTCCTCCACCTTCACACAAACTGGGACAGGTTGGGAACTTTGATGTTGAGATCACCAATGTTGATGTTCCTCGGGATCTCAGGAAGGTTGATGTTCTTCACAGCAGACACAGCCCTTGCAGGGGCTGCTGAAAGGCCACCCTGGGAACAAGGGGAAGGAGACTGTCAGTTGCTTTCCCAGGGACATCTGCTTAAATCTTAAACTAGATGATGTAGATCTGAGGAATTCCGAACGGCACACACAGAAGTCTTCATATCCCTCTGCCTCAAAGGCGGTGGACAAAACCCATTTAGATAGCTGGAGCTTGGTGCGGAAACCACGGCCTCTGCTTCCATTCCACTGCATGGTCTGCAAAGGGGGCTGTGTCTGATGCAGTTTTACAGCCGCAGCAGCTAATAGTGCTCATAGCCCATGGCAGATGCTCAATAAATGCTTGCTGAGGGACTCTAACACGGTTATCCTAAGTACTGAGGATACCCCATTTATAAAGCAAAACAAACAAAACCCTTTCCTCAAGAGTCCGCCTTACAGAAAAGCGCAAAGTTAAGGAAAAAGAACATCAGATTTAGGACACCTGCTTGCCAACTAGTGTGAGCTGTCATGTGGCAACCAGCTGGGAAGCACAAATGCTGGGAAAGCTGCACAGACACAAGAGGAGGGTGACCACCCCCAGGCTCATCCTGGGAGTGGAGAGGGAGAAATGACGAAGAGCTCAGAAATTCACTGTGCCCTAACGGACAGCTCCCAGGACACTCATTCCCACTCCACCCCACCCTGCACGGCTGTTGTGGTTTCCAGACCCCTTGCCTGACTCACTCACTGTGCCTGGAAGCACTGGAAGCACTCACTTCCCAGTCTGCACTCCTCAGAAAACTGCAGCCAGAGTTGTGACTAGAAAAGCTTCTCCAACAGGATCAGCAGTCCTCACAGGAAGACCGCCTGGTTCCGTAACACTCAGAGATGTCACTGCTCTACTGTTCCTGCAGCTGTGAGGAGGTGCGCCTCTGACCCTGCTCACCGTGGGACAGGTCTGGTTTCACCACGAGCCCCTCCATCAAGCCTGGTCACATGAGGATGGGGTGGGTATGGTATTTTCTATTTTGTTGTCTTTTTTTTTTTTTTTTTTTTTTTGAGACAGGGTTTTTCTGTGTAGGTAGCCCTGGCTGTGTAGATCAGGCTGGTCTCAAACTCAGAAATCCACCTGCCTCTGCCTCCCTGGTGCTGAGACTAAAGGTGTGTGCCACCACCGCCTAGCTGGGTATGGTATTTTCAAATCAACATTATTGTAGTTTTGTAGAAGCCTCACTGAAAATAAGGAATCTCGAATTTCTAGAGACTAAAAGATACCATGAGATATGGCTTCTGGAAGAACAGATGCGCAAAAGCACCAGAAATGTGGGCTGTAACTATATTCCAGAAGCTGTTTGCTCTTTCTGCCATCTGCCTATCCTTTAAGCCAGACATCTCAAATTGCCCTACCTGTTTAATGTTTATACTAGCCTTCAAGTTAGTGTGAACAAATCAATAAAGACAGTGAGAACCACCCCCTAAGGACTCAGAAAAACACAAGTCACACAAGGCACACATTCCTCCCTCTGCCCAGTGCTCTCTACCCAGCCAGGACACAAGTATAGCTACTTTCTTACCTCTGACTTCTCCAGTCTGTTTTGAGCTTCAATTTGAGCCACAATTTCATTCATGTTTGTTTCCAACACCATCCCACCCATCACCACCTCCTGAAGGATGTAGTGGACCTAGAAGAGAGGCAATAAGAAGACTCAGCACAGCACAGTGGTTTCCTTTGATGGCAGCAGAAGAGGGGTCAGACAAGCCACATTTTGATCTATGCTGGTGGCCATGTCAGAGGAGCAGCAGATGGCAACTGAGTCAGGAGTCGGCTCACCAGAATGCAAGGCACTGATGGGCGAATCTCAGAGAGTCACGGCCCTGAGGGCTTCTGCTCCAGAATGCCTCACGCTACTGCGTGTCTTTACATACAGCAAAGGCATTTTCGTCTGGTTTCCAGCATGGTGTGAATGGGTGTGGGGATGTCCCCACTGCCTTTAATGTAGTGTAATTATCTCATGGAAATCTCTTGTTCAACTGGGCATTTTAATCTATGGATTACTGGGAAGACAATTTCCTCTCAAGCGGGACTGTTTAACTGAAGCTATGATTTTATACAATAATAGTATTAATTTAGATAGAATTTTGATAATTCAAGGTTTTAAACAAGTGTAGTGAGGAATTATGATTGAACATTAATACAGGTAAAAGTAGGATAAGGTGTTGCCCCGTCCCTGATAAAGCAGAGGCTGCAGAGGATAGACAATAAGAACACGGAAGCATCACACAGCTAGGATTTAAGAGTTTTACTTGAGGATTTGTATAGACTGTGGTGTAGGTTTGATTAAGGTTGATTAAGGAAAACAATCTAGTCCCAGGAGTTAGCTCCAAGTCTTTCTGATATTGGGAAATGTGTTCATGGGTTTTGGGCACATCATAGCTAAAACAAAGATATAAACTGACTTCAGGTAAGTATAAAACAAAGAATTAGATGGTTACTTAAGAAAACTCAACAGGATTCTAAAATGAAAAGCAAAACAAATAGTCTGTTGTCGGCAATCATAAAAACTGCTGCCTGTGTAAACGGCTATGGCTGAAACGCTCTGATCTGGAGAAGTCTAAATGGGGAATGCTAAGCTGAGTGTGCGTTCTTGGGGATAATTAGGTTTTCACCTATAATATACAAAATGGAAGGGAAATGGAAACGTGTTGTTTTTTTTTTACTTATATTCATTGTAATCATTCACTTTAAAAAATAGAATGCAAACATGTTGTAATTTTTATATTGCTGAAAGATTTTGCTGGGGTATATGAGCTGTAGGAGAAAAAATACAGACGCATGGGAGGGAAACACCAGGGTAGAAGAACAGAACAGAGCAGAACAAGCAACAGAACGAATAGTAAAATGAAGAACTAAATTTTGTCCCTCAGAAAAATACTCATGTGTCTATGTGTCTGTCCAGTAGTTCATCTGCTCTGCATCTCCTCTTCAGGTTCTCTGATCTACTGAAGGCACCCCAGGTGAGAGCCTGCCGTGTTGGAGATGTGGGTGTGTTTTTCACCAGCCCCACAGAATTCACTTTCACTCCCTACGATCAACTGAGTCAACTGAGGTCAGTCCACCGACTCCACGGCTCCCTTCAATTCCTGAGCTGCCGAGGACTGGTCCTTATGCGAGCAGATCCACACTCAGCTGCCTCACTAGTGAGACCACAGGGGCCTCTGCCTTTTGGTTTATGGCTTCGTGGTCTTCTATTAGCAATGGCAGAGGGACTGGTGTCCTCAAGACAGTGAGGTGATGGCTGAGGCTTCCAACTCAGACAGGTGGTGTGCAAAGTCTAGCCCTGCTGTTGTTAGCTAAGTGGTCTTTGGCAAATTATCTTCTCAAAGCTTCAGCTTCCCTCCAAACCTACAGGACTAAATGGCTGGGTAAGATAACTAGATGGAAGACTAGACATAAACGCCTTGGCTGCTGCCTGGACACACTGGCTCATACAAAACAGATGTTTTCCTATCACCCGTTTGCTGCCATCACACTGGCGGGCACTGAGAAACAATCCCCAGCTATGGAAACGGTCCCCATCCAAGCACCATAAGAACCACATAAAATTTTCCTTGTGTGCCGGGCGGTGGTGGCGCACGCCTTTAATCCCAGCACTCGGGAGGCAGAGGCAGGTGGATCTCTGTGAGTTCGAGACCAGCCTGGTCTACAAGAGCTAGTTCCAGGACAGGCTCCAAAGCTACAGAGAAACCCTGTCTCGGAAAAACTAAAAAAAAAAAAAAAAAAAAAAAAATTTTCCTTGTGTGAGGCTCACACTGGGCTCAGGCTCCACCCATCCAGTGGTTCTCTGGGCAAAGCTAAATCTTGAAGCACAGCTGGGATGGAGCAGAGGCAATTCAGCCACTGTACAAGACAGCAGGAGAGCTGCCACAGAAAGTCCTGGCGGTGAAGACAGAAGTGCTCACTGGGCCTACAGGGTGGCACTTCCCATTCCTTTGCAGTACTGAGGCTTGAACCTAGGGCCTTGTGCAAGCATTTTTCCCAGTCCCTCTTTCAACTTTAAAATTATTTTTTGACTCATGTATCTCAGACTGACTTCAAACTTCTGATCTTCCTGCCTCTACTTCCCAAGCAGTAGGATTACAGGTATGTGCCACCATAACTGGATTATAGCCATGGGAACTCAGCCCAGTGCTATGTACATACTAGACAAGCACAGCTGACCAATATCCCTTGGGCTCATCTTTCTGAGAAATATTCTTGCTAAATTGTTCAGGATAGCCCTAGACTCACAATCCTGCCTCATTTCTCAGCTGGCTGGGATTATAGGTCTGTGCCACAAGGCCCAACAAAGCACTTCAAATTCCAAACCAAATCATACCAACAAGACTTGTGTAATTACTTTCTGACAAACCAGGAAGGTTTTGTCAAGTATAGAAATTGGACCAGCCCACAGGAGGCCAGAAAAGGCCCTGGGAAAAGCAAATCAGCTACAGGTTGGGGGGGGGGGGGGGAGGGGAGTGGTTACAAAGCTCATGGGCTGGCCTGTCTGGGATAGCAGCTTTATATAAGAGGGAGACTAAAGATGAGACTGAGAAGGTAGCTTGGGTTTGAGCAAGGTGCCCTAGCCTTGATATGGTGTGTGCTGAGACTGCCTGTATGTCTAAATTCAGAGGCTAGAAGAGGACACCAAGTATGCTGTTCTATTGTTTGCTCTCTGCTTACTCCCTAGAGACAGGTTCTCTTACTGAAGCTGGAAGTAGGCAGGCAGCCAGCAAGCTGGAGAGATCCTCTCATCTCCACCCTCCAGAGCTGGGGTTGTAGGTCATGTGACCTTGCCTGACATGGAGGTGCTGAACTCATGTCCTCAGGCTTGCACACTATGTGCTATTACCCACTGAGCCATCTCTCCAGCCCGAGACGATTCTTTGTTGAGCTTTCCTGGATACTGTAGCATGTTTCTGGTCTCTGAACACTAGCTGCCAGAGTTCCCCTCCAGCTAGGATGACCCAAGGTCTCCTCAGACATTGTTAAAAATCTCCCATGGGACGGAAGAATGGATGAAGAAAGTATGGAATATATACATATTAGAGTATTACTCAGCAGTAAAAAACAAGGACTTCTTGAATTTTGCATACAAATGGATGGAAATAGAAAACACTATCCTGAGTGAGGTAAGCCAGACCCAAAAAGAGGAACATGGGATGTACTCACTCATATTTGGTTTCTAGCCATAAATAAAGGACATTGAGCTTATAATTCATGTTCCTAGAGAAGCTAAATAAGAAGGTGAATCCAAAGACAAACACATAGGCATCCTCAGGAATATTAACCTTCATCAGGCGATGAAAGGAGACAGAGACAGAGACCCACACGGGAGCACCGGACAGAAATCTCAAGGTCCAAATCAGGAGCAGAAGGAGACGGAGCACGAGCAAGGAACTCAGGACCACGAGGGGTGCACCCACACACTAAGACAATGGGGATGTTCTATTGGGATCTCACCAAGGCCAGCTGGCCTAGGTCTGAAAAAACATGGGATAAATCCGGACTAGCTGAACATAGCGGACAATGAGGAATACTGAGAATTCAAGAACAATTGCAGTGGGTTTCTGATCCTACTGCACGTACTGGCTTTGTGGGAGCCTAGGCAGTTTGGATGCTCACCTTACGAGACCTGGATAGAGGTGGGCAGTCCTTGGGCTTCCCACAGGTCAGGGAACCCTGATTGCTCTTCGAGCAGATGAGGGAGGGGGAATTGATCGGGGGAGGGGGAGGGAAATGGGAAGCGGTTGTGGGGACGAGGCAGAAATCCTTAATAAATAAATAAATTTAAAAAAAAAAAAAAAATCTCCCATGGGACAGAGTCTTAGTTTAGACCCCTGACCTTCAGTCTCAAGTCAAGTTTCAATTTATTCTATGGTACTAAGAAGCTGAGGAAAAGATGTGTTTGCATGCTTCCGTGCATTTGATACAAGAAGTTCTTCTCCAGAAAGAAGGCACTAACACATATAACTGGGATTTGTCCTTTGTCCTGGGGGAAGGAGTACATTATGGAGTAGCCTGTAAGTGTACCCATTTACTAAGTCTTAACAAGACTTCCCAGCTTTCTCTCTTTTCTAAATTATATACAATATTCATTACCCATATTATACATTAATATATATCTACATTAAGATATATCTCTATAAAATTTAATAGCAAAAGTTTCATATTTAGGCAACTTAAAATGTTATGCAAGACTGGTTTTCATATTATTCTGTGGGGGAACTCCACTGCTTATACTTCCCTATCAAATGGTCCTCTGGATATATTGACTGTATGGAAGTTCCTCATAATGCAAAAACAGAACTACTATATGACTCAACAATTCAATTTCTGGGTATATATCCACAAAAACTAAAAGCAGAGACTCAAACATTTATACATCCATTTTCATATCATAAAGTCACAATGGGCAAAAAAATAGAAGCAACCCAAGTGGCCACCCCCAGATGAATGGATAAAAAAATGTCCTATTCCATAAAATAGATTATTTTGCCTTAAAAGGGAAGCTTCTTTTGTTTTGTTTTGTTTTGTTTTGAGACAGGGTTTCTCTGTAGCTTTGGAGCCTGTCCTGGAACTCGCTCTGTAGACCAGGCTTGACCTCAAACTCACAGAGATCCACCTGTCTCTGCCTCCTGAGTG